ATCTTTGTTGCTCTTCTCTGTACTCTTTCTAGAGTCTCAACATCTTTTTTACATCGTAGTGACCAAAACTGGATGCAGGATTCCAAGTGTGGCCTTACCAAGACCTTGTAAAGTGGTATTAACCCTTCACGTGATCTTGATTCTATCCCTCTGTTAATGCAGCCTAACACTATGTTGGCCTTTTTGGCAGCTGCAGCACTCGGCTGGCTCATCTCTAAGTGATTGTCCACTAGGACTCCAAGGTCCCTCTCACAGTTACTACTATTGAGTAATATCTCTAACCCCATCAAATGACCACCTCCGCTTATCCCAGATCGTTGGAAAGGGGGGCAAACACACCAAATCCAGTCTCAACAACTGGCTGGCTGTGAAACTGACAATAATAATAATAATAATAATAATAATAATAATAATAATAATAATAATAATAATAATAATAATAAGAAGAAGAAGAAGAAGAAGAAGAAGAAGAAGAAGAAGAAGAAGAAGAAGAAGAAGAAGAAGAAGAAGAAGAAGAAGAATATCGCTATCGGTCAATTGCAAAAGGCAGCTTGACTCAGAGCGGCAGTCTGTGACGATATATTTAAAACTCCATACAGCAACAACTGGCTATCCCAGGTCCTTGGGAAGGACTTGACAGGTAGACCAACAGGTAGTAGACCTGATAGGTAGACAAAAATGCCAAGTCCACTCTCAACATCTGGCTGATTGTGCCATCGATCGTAATAATAATGCTAATAGTGATAGGTCCCTCGGGGGCAGTCCTAAAACATCTGGAGCACCACTTAAACACCAATGGCATTGGCAAATTCACCGTCGGTCAACTGCAAATGCTAGAGCTTAAAGCAGCCAGCTGACCCTTAAACACACACACACACACACACACACACAGACACATTGCAAAAAGCAAATGAATCTGGTACATTTTTGAGGGGCTGCCACAAAGAAGGGGGGGAATCAAGCTATTCTCCAAAGCATCACAAGGCAGGACAAGAAACAACAGGTGGAAACTTATCAAGGAGAGAAGCAACCTAGAACTAAGGAGAAAATTCTCAATGGTTAGAACAATTGACCACTGGAACTCCTTGCCTCCAGACATTGTGGATGCTTCATCACTGGAGGCTTTTAAGAAGAGATTGGACAAGCCATTTGTCTGGGATGGTATAGCATCTCCTGCTTGAGCAGGGGGCTGGACTAGAAGACCTCCGAGGTCCCTTCGAACTCTTGCTATACTGTTTTTCAGTGGAATGGCTTCCCTCCAGAAGTTGTGGATGCTCCATCACTGGAGGGTTTTAAGTAGAGACTGGACAGCCATTCGTCTGGAATGCTATAGGGTCTCCTGCTTGAGCAGGGGGTTGGACTAGATGACCTCCAAGGTCCCTTTCAACCCTATTATACTAGGCTCTAAGTTGTGGGCGCTCCATCCCTGGAGGTTTTTAAGTAGAGACTGGACAGCCATATGTCTGGAATGCTATAGGGCAGTGGTGGCGAACCTATGGCACGGGTGCCAGAGGCGGCACTCAGAGCCCTCTCTGTGGGCACGCGCACCATCACTCCAGTCCTAGGCCTTCTGCTGGGTTTTATAAAACCTTTTCACTTTAGGCCTCCGCCGCCATGTGCAAAAAAAAAATAATTTCAATCAATCAGTCAATTTCAACTTCTCGTGGGAAAAAAAAAAGATCTTGCAAAGTTGGAACTGATGGATTGAACTTTTTAGTCCCACCCAGTCTGCCGTTACCACCACAGCCACGCCCACTCCATGGGCCACACACCCCAATTAGCCACACCCACCCAATGGGCCACACCTGCCAGAGACCCCCTGGATCTCCCCCAACCCCGCCCGGCCCCCACAGGCATGCCTCCCCACGAGCAACATCGAGGTGACCACGCCCACCTTGGCCACACCCACCCAGTCTGCCATGACCACCACAGCCACGCCCACCCAGTGGGCCACACCCACCCGGCACCCGGCGATACATAAGTGGGTTTTGGGTTGCAGTTTGGGCACTCGGTCTCTAAAAGGTTCGCCATCACTGCTACAGGGTCTCCTGCTTGTGCAGGGGGTTGGACTAGAGGACCTCCAAGGTCCCTTCCAGCTCTGTTATTCTGTTATTCAATTTCATTCAGCCTGGGCCACTCTGGGAAGCCATTTGCAGGAAGCCATGATATCTGGAGCCCTGGCACGCTGCCCGCATTGATGGAGCCCACAGCCTTCCCACACGTTTGGTCTTCTGTAACATCTGGCCGACCCCACTTGTGGGGCTCAGCACGGTGCCCCCCCCGGGCCCTCCTACCTTGAGGTCCAGGTGCAGCACTCTCATCTGATGCATGAAAAGGATTCCTTCGCAGATCTGCCGCACGAACACCATGCACTCCACCTCGGTCAGTTGGTAATCCTCATCAATGATGCGTTCAAAGAGCTCGCCCCCTTCCACGCTGGATGGGAGATCGAGGTTGGGTCAGGACAGCACATGAGGCAGCCACCCCCAGGAGCATCGGGACCATACAGCCCTTAGGCTGAGATACCGCTCTGAGCGGTTTTACAGAAACGGCATTTTGCCCCCCAATAATCTGGGTCCTCATTTTACCGACCTCGGAAGGACGGAAGGCTGAGTCGACCTTGGGCCGATCAGGTGGGCAGAGTCAGCTTGCAATCCTGTATTCTAATCACTGCACCACCAGATATAGAAGAGGTGAGATAGATAGATAGATAGATAGATAGATAGATAGATAGATAGATAGATAGATAGATAGATAGATAGATAGATAGATAGATGGATGGATGGATGGATGGATGGATGGATGGATGGATGGATGGATGGATGGATGGATGGATGGATGGATGGATGGATGATAGGTAGGTAGGTAGGTAGGTAGGTAGGTAGGTAGGTAGACAGACAGACAGACAGACAGACAGACAGACAGACAGACAGACTAGATAGATAGATAGATAGATAGATAGATAGATAGATAGATAGATAGATAGATAGATAGATAGATAGATGATAGATAGATAGATAGA